GCACACCTGATATAGGGTGTTGATGTCATTAGACCACACCCCTTCTCATTACAGAGATGCACATCACCTAATATGCTTAATTGGTAGTAGGCTTTCAAGCCTATATAGCTTGGAGTAAGACAACATGCATGAAGAGGATGATGTGGACAAAATACTCATTTGCCTAATAATTCTGCACTCCCTGTATACCTTAATTGATCCATTTTACAATAGACTATCTACAGTGATATACTGCAAGTTTTGCAAGTATAGCAATTGCATTACATACAATGCAGAATAATATGGTAAATTTAAATATTCTTATTTTTTTCTGTTAGGCAGAAGACAAATGTAGAAAGGAAGCATTCAGAAAAGGTTTTAATCTCTCAAGATCACTAACCCTGGTAAATTAATATTTTCATAACCTTTGTTCATTACTTTACATAAATAATCTCTTATTGTAAGAATGATCTTCTTTTGCTGTGGTTTTCATTGTGTTCTTAAGAAGCTGTTACACTCACTGTGCTCTGCTTTTTTCTGGAAAATATTTGGGAACTATTCCAGAAAACCCTAGGAAGAGCTGTAAAAGAAGAGGAAATGGTGAAGGTGGGTCAGCAGGTCTCCAAATTACTGACATGTTGACTGAGAAAGTTTTTAATTCATAAAATTAGTAACTAAAAACCTCCAGTAACATCAACATACCTTTAGTGATCTGATGCACAGAAAATTGACAAAATTCAAAGTTGAAAACAACTAGAAAACAACAGTGTTTACAAGGCAATGTTATATAATTTGTGCTAAAATTTTTATTTTTCTCATTCGGGCAGGAGACGAGTACAAAATAGCAACAAGAGTATTGGAATTGTTTGACAAATACATTCGTCAGTTGGAACTGAAGATGTTATCAGCTGATTTTCCAGAAGTGGGGGAAGTATTTAAGGTTTCTTTGCACTTTATGAAGAACTTCCGAACTTACATGCACAAGAAGATGACTTTGCTACAAGAATAGAGAACAGGAAAGAAACTGGGTGTGATGGGGAGCTTCATAAAATTGTAACAGAAACAACAAATTGAACGGCTTACATTTCTGTCTCTATGTCTGTTCTAGTTTGTGCATATTTAGTTTTTATGAAAACCATTTTTTGTTGTTTCCAAATCATAAAAAACATATTTCCTTTAAGTTATACATATGTGACTTCTTTATATTAATTTGGCACAAAGTTGTAGTAAACTGGGAAGTTATTTTGTTTTACTGATCTTAGCCAGTGATTCTTTTATTTAGACATTATACGTTTCTATGCATTCTAAATAAATGTGGTATGCAAAGAATGTTTCTTGTGCTTCCTTTGTCAAACCCTAAAGTAAAAACAAAAAAAATCAGAGATGATATATGTAGAAACTGTATCATAATCCCCTATTTACTTATAACAAAGACGATGACAGGGTTTTTTTTGCTTCCAATGTTTTGATCATAAATCCTTCAGGTCAAGCATAAATGATGGAATCATTAATCAATTTTTAGATATTTGTTTATATGTCCAAAGTATTTAGATAATTACATATTTCTTCATTTTATTTCTATCTATTTATTTACTCACTT